TGAAGTTGTTCCTCTAAAATAAACTTCCAGGGTGGTTAGTGAGGTTGACTGTAGTGCACTGGAGTCTTCCCTATGTGCTTATAGCTCCAGCCCACACTCTGCTTGCTCTTAGAAAACGCTCATGATATTCTACCTACATTGTACCACCTCCTTTTCACACATAGGACATCTCCCTTTGGGTAACCTCTGAGGCCCTATCTCAAAGAAACAGGATGTATTCCCAGATCTCTTAGATGGATCTCTTGCCCAAGCTTAAGAAATTATGACGAATTCTGCAAATATTCACTTGTGATGACCTTTGATATAGTCAGTACCTATTACAAAAGCAAGATGTAGCATTTACAGTGACCAGAGTATAATATTAAAGTCAGCAGGGCTACCCTCCCAGACATCTATTTTTAAACTCTTGACAGCTATGGCTACTTGGTCATTATTGTACTGCTTCTGCCTCAGCCCTCTTTCAGCTCTGCATCTACACAGGGTTCTCATTCTTATCTACTCCAGCCCTGGTTTTCCCAGGATCCCTGAAAGTCATCAACCAAAAATATAAGATTCGTCCATCATTCTGCTTTTATTTCTCTTTTATTCCGTATTTACATTCTGAACAATTCTGCTTATTAAGTGCCTTTTCATATCTAACATCTTTCATTAGTCTCACAATCACTACTTTAATTTGTCATCTTGAGGCTGGACTATGCAATTGACTCCTAGACAGCTTTTCTAGTTCTTATAATCCGAATTCCATGGACTCATAAGAAGACTGTGCATTGGCTTCAAAGTGTCTAAGTCTTCCAAAATTGTACACATACATGCTGTTCTGAATGATGAGGGTTGAGTTCTGGAATGCTAATTGTTCAAGGCCCACGGTTTGACTTTAGTTGGCTGAGATACAATTGTACTGGAGCAGGGCTGATATTGACTGATTTCTTTCTACTTTCTTTCTCTGCATATAAAATCTTTGGCACATACATGTGCTAAATATAAAAGCAATTATAGACATTATTATTAAATAGGACAAGATGAACTACAACTAATCACAACATGCCTTTCAAATTTCTTATAATTCTGCCATATTAAATGAAAAGTAGAAAATACATAGAGAACTCTGGCACAAAGCACTTGTAGAAATTCCTCTCATTAAAAAAAAAAAAAGTCTTAAAATAAGCAAACTTTCTGAACAAGAGTTCTTTTGTGAAACTGACAGCAAAAAAATGACCCGGGGTAATGGTCCTGGGAAAATAAGGAGTATAGCATATCACAGTCATCTTTCTGTGGCTCATTCTAGCAAGAGTCTGAGAGTCCAGACCTTGGTTAGAAATTGACTAAAGAATGCAAAGCCATGAGGTTGGTTGCAGAAGAGATTTGGAAGAAAAACTGTGGACACCAAGAACCCACAAATATGTCATATTTCCAAAGCAAGCATCCAAATTTGGACATCGCATGACTTTGACTTAAAGAAAATTTTGTCAGATCTGCAGAGCTAAAGACCATGTTTATATCACACACACATAACTCTGAGTCCCTGATTCTATAACTCTCCTTTGGTAACCAACTTACTTAATACTAAGTATATATCACTTGGATGCTTAGCCACTGGATATGAAACATCTCTAACGTTTGGCTAACTGAGGCAGCAGCCGCTTTGTGGTTGAACGTTCAGGCTGTAGTGCCAGACTGCCTAGGTTTGAATCAACTTCCGTTTCTCTGCCTACAAGCTACAGTGACCTGGGGCGAGTCACTTATCTTTATGTATCTCACCTATAAAGTGGGAATGACATGAATGTTCTCTATTCAGGTTTTTGGTGGTGTTGTGAGGTTTAAATGAGTTGATATTTGTTAAATGATTATAATAATATTGTCACAGAGTACAGCCTCAATAAATGTAAGCTGTTGTCACTCTAAGAAGTTATTTCCCTAAATCGGCAATTCTTAAAATGTAGCTACATGGGAATCATCTGGAAGGCTTGTTAACATAGAGACCCCTAAAACCTCCAATCCCTGCAGCTTCTGATTAATGGGGCTGGGATGAAGCCAGAGAATTTGTATTTTTATCACGGTCCAGTGTAATGCTAATGCTATTGGTCCCCGGACCACTCCGCGAGAGCCGCTGCCCTAAACATTCGTTCCAAACTCTCATCAAAAAGCTTAAATGCAGTGTAACTGGAGGGAGCGAAAGGTCATTTTAGTTATATTAATTCAGTGTTTATGAGTCAAAATATTGGGAGCCCTCCTGCAGGAGCTATTGAAGGAGGCCTGAGATACTATATGCGATTCTGGGGGTTGTCTTGTGGACGGTGGGGGAGGAGATGAGAGAGGGGAAGGCAACCTAAATAGAAATAATATCATTTATATCCAGTTGTTTGATAATCCCTTTCACAAGAAAGGTTTCTCCAATTGAGCCAAACAGAACATTCAAACTGCAGGTATCACGGGTTTTCATCGCTCTCTGTCTTCAGAAAGAACCTTGGAGAGACACATAACTGAGGACAGCCTGTGGTGATTAAAGCAAAACCTTAATGCAAAAGGCCCAAACTTGCCGCCGATGAAACTGCCCTGCCCACCAACCGGGACGTGCCTGGAGAAATCCCAGTAATTGGAAATCGAGGAGTAAACGCGGCAGAGGCAAACGGGCGGACGAACTGCGTGCTCTCGGAAATAAAGAAGCGCTTGGACGCTTATTAGCCATGTGCCGCAGAGCCCCTGCGGAGTCCCCAGACACATAAGTCAGCGTCACCCCGCCCCAGCCACGCCTTCTTTCCCTCCGCTCTGGAAGGTCCCTGTGACCCAAGCGGCTGAGCTGTGGACACCACCGGCGGCGTTAGCCTATTGATTGGTCACCTGTGTAAGGAGGTGAGTGGCTCCGCCAACCCTTTCCCAAGAACGGGACTGACTGGCCTGCAAGGGGTTTGGCGTGGGAATGCAAGAGTTCTGCTGCCCATCGGGGTTGGAGGGACGAGGGTCGGGTGGGAGTGAGAGGAAGTACCGAAGAGGGAGGGGGATTAAAGAAAATTGGAGAAAGTCATTTCTTCAGTGACTGATGCCAGGCAAAAGACGCACCCTGAGCAAAGGTTAATCAGTGAGTGGAGACCCTTATTTTGGGCACCTATGGCAGATTTGTCCAAAAAAAAAAAAAAACAAAACAAATTGAGGAGAAACTCCTGGGACCTGGAGTAAAATAGAGTGATGTAAATAGTTATGTTTAAACAACTTTAGGGAGAATTAAAGCACACTGTTAAGGGAGGAGAAAGAAAATGTTAAAACCTCCACTTTGACTTTTATTTTTGTAACAATTACAATAAAGGAACCCATCACAGTATTCTGAAGTCGCGGAAGCGCCTCCAGGTCTCTCTCCAGAGTGTTAACTCCCAAGCTGCTAGCCAAAAACACTAAGCCATTTGTTCACTTTGGGAGCAGAGAACTTTTCCTCACTCAGGTTTGGATACAATTTTCTACTTCCTGGGAAGATTTTCTGTCTCTGCCTGTGTCAGGAGAGGATTCAGGACCAGGAAAGAAGAGCTCAGGTATTGTCAATTTCTATCCACTATCCATGTTCTTCTAGATTTTTTATTCTCTTAAATAGCTCTTATGCATGTGTACCCACTTCTGCTTTCTAGAATTACCTGAATCCTGTTTTTCCATTCTTTGCTTATCTAATGAAAAGAAGTTGGAAATATTGTCTCCAATCAAAGTTTATTTAAATTTTTTTGTAACCAGATGGCCACAGTAACAAAAGTGGTCATGTGATAAATCCTAGATTAAATTTTAATTTGGGCTAAATTCTATAATAATTCCATTATCCTTATATCTATAGGAAGTTAAAAGTAATTCAGCGTCCATATTGTCTCTAGCATAGTTTATAACCAAGGGATGGTTGGCTGGTAGAATCTAAAAGAAATTCCTGTTTTAGAACATTAAGATTTATAAATTATGAAGGTTACTTTTCTTAGAAAAGCATAATAAAGATTTTATTCCAACCCTGTATGTTCTGAATTTCAGGAGAAAATAAGGTTTGGATTTTTGAGCTAGCCACACATGTGGGTTACAGATAACATTTTTCCAACAAACTGAGCTTTTTTCTTCCCTGGTTACGCTCCCCCACCCCCATGGCTGACATGAGGAGAAGGAGAAGGGACCAAAGGAAGAGGCAGAGGGATGTTCTAGACAGAGCAAAAGCAAACAGCATTATGCCTGTGAGGGGGCGGCATGGCCCACTGAAGTGCAGGTACAAGGCTCAAACCCTCTCAGCGGGTCAGTTACTGTTGCTTCTGGTCATTATTTGGCAGTGGAATGTGCAATGTGCCTTTTTTGGCAATGTCTTGAGAACATATTAGAAAGATTTATTTACCCTTTCAGTGGATTATTGTAGTTCATAAAAATGTTTTTGAAGAAGATTTAATAAAATTAAAACACAAATATTACACATTCAGTGCTAAAAAATGTTACAAAATTTAGTTTGATCAGATACACACACATATATACACAGAAACATACATACAATACATATAAAAGGCTGGAAGGTATACAGGAAAATGTTAACAATTATATAAGTAATTTAAATTATTTTTACTTATTTACAGCTTCCAAATTTTCTATCATGCACATGTGTTAGTCTTATTACCAGTTTTTAGAAATAGTCTAAAAGAACTAATGTATAAACAGGAAACTAAGCTTTATGTATTTCACTTGTCACAATATCTTCATTATGATTTTCATTTTCTCTTAATAAATATCTAAGGAATAGGGATTGCTGCTTTTTATTAAGAATTGAAAAGTTCTTCACAACAATAAATATCCCAGTTGATCACAAAGCTCTATGTAAGGACGTCACACACTAGGGCTTTCTTTGTACAGGCTAAATTTTACCATAAAAGTTATGAACAAAATTGGCTATTTATGAGCCTTCAGGAACATCTCCAAGATTACCAGAGTTATTGTGTGTGGTTGGACTGGGACTTTGAGAAAACTATAGTTGTAACTCTGAGGTGTGATGTTTTTTCAGGATGGAAGTGAAAGGCAGAGGAATCACCTGCTTGCTGGTCTCCTCCGCTGTGATCTGCCTGGTGGCCACCCCCGGAGGCCGGGCTTGTCCTCGTCGCTGTGCCTGTTATGTGCCTACAGAGGTGCACTGCACATTTCGGTACCTGACCTCCATCCCAGACAGCATCTCGCCTAATGTGGAACGTATCAACTTAGGGTGCGTGGGGGCCATTGTCTTGTCCCCCTCTCAAAGAGGGATTGTCACTAAAACACCTGTGACTTTGGGAGATTAACCACAATCATTGCAATAATATTTCTCTTCTGAAATGAGTGCGTCTTAAGTTTGTTAGAGCAATAAGAAAATTTTTCCTTGTAAACTTTTGCAGGGAGAAAGTTCTTCCAGAACCTGAAGTCACTCTGTGTAGGTTGAGGCCCATGACTGTAGAAAAGCTTTATTCTGGCTACATTTGTGCTGGAAAGTAAGATAGCTCATGTATAGAATTAGGGTTATAGTATATTAGTAAGAGAAGACAGAACAACTAGAAATGTCCTCCTACACCTAAAAGATATGTGTGAAAAGTCGGGTAGATCTTTTTTTAAGGCTCTTGGACTTTTTTCCATGAAAACTGACTTATTCAAAATGCTTTAAAAAATGTATACCTAATTAAATATACCAGAATGTGACTATACTTTAAAGGTTCATAAAAAACTGTGTATCTGAACATATGTGTAGTTGAATTTAATATCATTTATTTGACATAAGCGAGCACCTACTGTGCCAAACACATTGGATGGTACCGGAGATACAATGAGTAAGATATTATTCCCTTCTAGAAGCTAGGGGAGAAGACAGATATACAATGAGTACGATTTAATAAGAATCATAATAAAGCAAAGGAAACAAACACTACTAATAATAGCTAACATTAATTGTGTGCTTACTATGTCCTGGCATTGAGCTAAGCACTCTTCAGATATTTATTCGTTTAATCCCCATAACCTCTTTGGAGTAGGTTCTATTCTTTGCATTTTGTAGATAAGAAAACGCGCACAGAAAGGTTACTGATTTTATTCATGGTCTTACCACTAAGTGTCTGATTTCATAATCATGGCCAAACGAATTGGCTTCAGAGCCCAGGTTTCTTAACTACTATTTTATAATGATGAATTCCCCCTGAGAGAGTGGAGACCCGTTACAAAAGAATGGGCCAGGTCTTAACAGTGTTCACAAATAGAGAGGGTTAGAGTCAAGGCTTTCCAGCCTGAAGGAACAGCATATACAGGAAGGTTTGAAAATGAGAGGGAGTGTGGCATGTTCCTGGAATATGAATGAGGAGATGTAATGGAGACTGCAAGGACTGGGTAGAGGGTGGACCTTCTCTGGCATCTGATGAATTTCAATAATATTTCAAGCATTGGATTATCTTCTTAGAGCATAGATAAAATAAGAGAGACATACAGGCTGTGTGTGCGTGTGTATGTGTGTGTGAGTTGGTTTTTGCTTTGACATGTATAGTTGACAGGCTTAGCATATGCTTAGAATGACATTTTTATTTCAGGTACAATAGCTTGGTCAAACTGACAGAAACAGATTTTTCTGGCCTAAATAAATTGGAGTTACTGATGCTGCACAGCAATGGTATTCACACAATCCCAGCTAAGACCTTTTCGGATTTGCAGGCCTTGCAGGTAAGACCAGTGTGGGGGAGGGGCAGGGGAAAGCTGTAAGAGATACCTCCAAAAGCTGCCTGCTCTTACAGCATCCAAAAATCAACATTCTGTAAATTATTAGTAGACATCAAGGGAGAATGTCAAAGAACTGATTTCTTTTTAAATACAACAGCATGTGGAAATGAGAAAAAAAAACTCAGAGTTAAGTTTTCTCATACCTCAGGCTAGTAGGAAAAAAAAAAGCCCAGTGATTACTAAAACTTTTAAAATTGAATCCTGAAAGGCTAATTCTAGTCATATTCATCTGGGAACTGAATGTGGTTCCTAAAAATAAATTGCTATCTTAGACAGAAGTTAGCTTTCTATATAGCAATATACTTTTTTAGTTTCATTTTACTTATTTATTTACATGCTGCCTTATTCCAAAAACTTTAAAAAGTTATGGAGACTTTCAAGAACACGTCAGATATTGTGAGAATTATCACTCCAGTGAGAAAGTAAAAGGTAAAACAACTCTAAGGATAAGAACAAGGGAGCACAGAGAAATGTAGATGTATGATGAGTATGTCTGCTATAAGTAGGACTTGAGGCTTTTGAAAGCTAACTTACAATTCAGAAGTTATTAATTATTAATAAAAAACAAAACTATTCTTCAGGAAAGGCACAGCTATGTCTGATTTTAAATCAGAAAGACTATCTCCCAAAGCTCCTGATAGAGTACAATAGAAAAAGTCAGTAATATCCTTGTAAAAGATAAAATGCCAGTATGTATAGAACCTTTGACATCATACCAGTGCTGTGTAAAGGCATAAAATTCAGTCTAGGTATGGAATTCTGATGATTTGGCTTACTCAGGCTTTATTTGGAATGTATGTGTTCAGAGGATTAAATGAAATACATATCCTTCATGAAATTCCCCCACCCATTTAAACTCACAACCAGCATTTCAATAGATATTGAGGACTATTGAGTTTGAGATTGCACTCCCAGGTAATATTTGGGGCCAAAGCTCTTCTGTATTGCCAATTTAATTTTTTTTTTTTCTTACTAGGGAACTTGGTGTTCCGAAAAAGCACTGTCAACAGAGATGACAGATTAGGTCAAATCAGGAAAAAATGATGAGAAAGCATTGTTTTTACTAGCGTTTATTTTTCTTTTATTTTTGGGGAGAGAGAGTATCTTTATTTAAGTAACTGGAGAAAAATTGAAGAATACCCACACACTATTAAAACATTCAAAATTTGTTTATTTCAATTCAAAATCAGTTAAAATCATATTACTCATAACAGCCAAAAAGTGGAAAACACTCAAATGTTCATTAACTGGTAAATGGATAAACAAAATATGTTACATGTAATGAAATAGTATTCAGCAATAAAAAGGACTGAAGCACTGATACATGCTAAACATGGATGGGTCTTGAAAACATTAGGCTAATTGTAAAAAGCTAGACACAAAAAACCACATATTGTATGATCCCATTTATATGAAGTGTCGAGAATAGGCAAATCCATAGAAACAAACTAAATTAGTGGTTTTCTAGGGCTAGGAGGAAGAGGGAAATAACTGCTAATGAGAATCAGTTTTTATTTTGGGTGATGAAAATTTTCTAAAATTAAATGGTAGAGGTGGTTGCACAATTCTATGGATATACTAAAAACCACTGAATTGTACGTTTTAAAAAATGAAGTTTATGCCTTGAGAATCATATATCAATAAAACAATTATAAATATGAAGAATAAATTAAAATCAATATTTTTCTTAAGAAAAATTCAGGTTCAAGGAATCTTAAATTTACTCGAAATATGAAGATACTTAAAAAACTTATTATGGAAATTTTCAACTATATACAAAAGTAGAATAATATAATGAACCGCAGCACAGCATATCCCAGCTTCAATAGTTATCAACACATAACAAATTATTTCACCTGTATCTTCATTTACCTCTTTTCTACTTCATTGCATTGTTTTAAAACAAATCTACAATATCATGTTTCACCTATAAGTACTTCAATATAATCTCAGTTTCAAGGAATCTTTTAAAAATAACCACAATATTATTATATCTTACAATTTTAGCAATACTTTCTTAATATCCTCAAATGTTTGTCAGTGTTCTAATTTCCCTGGTATTCTCATATTTAATTTGCAACTAATTTGTTTGAATTAGAACTCAAACAAGATACACACATTACATTTTATTAATCTCAACATGTGGTTTATTGATATGTTTCTCCCTCTTGAAAAAATTCCTTTGACAAAATAAATGTGTTCTTTTTATTCTTAGGTATTAAAAATGAGCTATAACAAAGTTCGTAAACTTCAGAAGGACACGTTTTATGGCCTCAGAAACTTGACACGGTTGCATATGGACCACAACAATATCGAGTTTATAAACCCAGAGGTTTTTTATGGGCTCACCTTTCTCCGACTGGTGCACTTGGAAGGAAATCAGCTCACTAAACTGCATCCAGATACATTTGTCTCTTTGCGCTACCTCCAGATATTTAAGATATCTTTCATTAAGTACCTGTACTTGTCTGATAACTTTCTGAGCACCCTCCCTCAAGAGATGGTCTCGTATATGCCTGATTTGGAAAGCCTTTATCTTCATGGGAACCCCTGGACCTGCGACTGTCATTTAAAATGGTTGTCTGACTGGATACAAGAGAAGCCAGGTATCTGTACTGTTTATTTCTTTGTCTTTACGTAATAGAAGAAACCTGCCTGAAGGAGTTTTATCAGTAAGGGGGGAAGCTAAGGTAATTTAGCTAGAAAAAAAAATGAAGTCTAAATAATAATTCAGTGATAACTAATTCTCTTGATTCTTTAATGAACTAATCGTTCATTTTTTCAAAGGTCAACTATCAATCATTACTGGCTTTTGGCAAAATTGGGGAATAAGAGATGTGTGTGTTATTTTTCCCTATTTACCATGAGTCATAAAAACCCTTCCCTCTTCTTATCTTCCTTCAGTCAAAACACATGTTTTGGAGCTCTATTCAGGGTTCTATATTAGGTGATGGAAATACCAAGGTCAATGTCTCTGCTCTAACGAGGCTTCTAGAGGATTACAGATGAGCAAACAGACAATCAGGGTGTGAAATGTGCTCTGATGGGGAAATTAGAATTTACCATGAAGAAGTGAAGATCCATTCAGTCAACAAGTAGTTATCATAAACCTATGTACAAGATGCCACAGAGAATACAGGGATCCAAAAATGAACAAAACAGATTAAGGTCTGTGCCTTCGTGGACCTTACATTCTTGTGAGGAAATGGGCAAACAACTAATTATACTACTAATTATTAAAATCTGATTAAATAATTAAATGAATTAAGTCCTTAAGATGATAATTGAAAGAAATCCATTAATTTGGTTAGCAAAGAGGGATGGTCGTTGCTTTGAAAAGACTGATGGGAACTGCACTGCCATGTGTGGATGGATAAGTGGGAGGTGGAGTCACAGTCAGTTCTTTGGAGAGGTTTGGTTTGAGGGGAGGAGGAAAGGGTGTCAGGTAGAAATGTGCAGTCACGCAAGACTCTTCAAGCAGGAGAGAGATTTGAGCATGTTCAAGATGAAAAAAGATTGTTGAGAGGGAGAAGGTGACAATACTGCAGAAAGAGCAGATCATCAATTGAGCAAGTTTCTTAAAAAGTCTGGGGGGCACAAGATCCAGCCATAGCTGGAGAGATTTTCCTTAAGCGATAGGGAAAAAAAAGGACTAGCTGGGCATAGAGACAGGTGAGTTTCTGGGTGTGGTGGAGAAAAAAATGGAAACCATCATCTGATGGCTTTTCCTCCTTAGTGAAGTTGTAGGAGATGTGACCGAAGAAAGTGCTAACAAGGAGTCAAGGTTGGTAGCTTAAGAAAAGTGGAAAAAGTTTAAAGTTGCTGCTGTGAAATATAGATAAGTAGATTACACACATATATATAATCATATATAATCATATACATGTGCATATATATACAATCATATATGTATGTATATATGTACATATTGTAGTCATTTATTATAACTAGCCAGTCAAAAGCTTATCAAAAAACATTAGCTGAACATCGTGAGGTACTTTAGGCCAGTAGACACCAAGTTTGCTATCCAGGAGTTTAGAATCTTTAAGGTAAGTATGCTAAACACATAAAAAGACAATAAAGCTGTGAATGAAAACCATCAAATACTTATATTGAGGATTTAATTCTATAGGAGCTCAGAGTCAGTAAAAATTAACTTCTGCCCTGGATAAAGGGGAGAGAAATTAGTCTAGGGTATAAAAGATACACTGAAGGGAAAAGGAGGGATAAGAGAGAGGGAAACAGGTAGCATGTATTCAGTTTGTGCTTGGCATGGTGAAAGGTGCTTTCTTTTTAAACCTCACAATAACCCTCAATTTATAGATGAAGAAACTGAGGCTTTGAAAAGTTAGGTATCTTGGGCTAGTCATTTAGACCCTTTATGCCTCAGTTTTTCTCACCTGTAATATAGGAATAAAAATAGAGAAAGAATAATTAAAATAATACAAAGTGCTTAGCACAATGTATGACACAAAGTAAGCACTCAAATATAAGTGTTATAATTATTTTCATTGCCACTCATTTCGCACAGCTAGTAGAAAAGTAGAAACTCAAAGTCCAGATCTTTTTCTAAAATGTGTTTGGGATGAAGAAACTGCTTTGTACATAAAAGCAGATATAATAAGTTGCATGACGAGGGCAGTGAATGGCCCAATTTGCCTGGCATGGAGTCAGTATAGACTGGAAGGTGTTTTGAATCCAACTTAGGGGAGCACTGACTACTGGGCTATATTGTCTATACTTTATCCTGTAGAAAAAAAGGAAGATTTTATAGTGAAAGATTTTGAACACAGTTTCCCAATGAGATGCTCTTTAGGGATCTCCGATCTGTGAGCATTGGATAGGGTAGACTGGAGTGGGGAGAAAGAGGAGTCCAGTTAGGAAGTGCTCATGGTGGTTCATGTCTGGGGAATGATAGGTTGGAGTTTGAGTTGACCACACCAGAGTGTAGCTTCATAGACATCTAAAAGGCAGTAGGGGATTGAGTAGGGGTTTCTCAATACTTTCAAATGTCATGGAGAGATAAAGGAGAGTGAGAAATGAGAAAGAACTACTGGATTTCATGTGGTTGCTAGCTGGATTATAGGGGGAGGATGGTGAGCATATAGAGAACACTTATCTGAGAAATATAGCAGCGAAAAAAGAAGAGAAAGAAGATGACACCCACAGGAAGAGAACTGCATACCCAGAGAGAAAATGATTCTATGTTCAGTTCCTACAAGGTGTCAAACCTACTTTCCATTTTGCTGATTACATACTCTGGTAATAAAATCAAGCTAATATATTTTGTTAGCACTCAACATTTCATCAAGTGGAATATGCCACTGATTTTAAGACATTAGTTATTTTATGTACTAGAGTCTAGGAATTGGTAAACTGTAGCCCATGGGCCAAATCCACCCCTTAACAAGCTTATATAAATAGAGGTTTATTGGAACACAGTTATGCCCAGTTCTTTACATTTCATCTAATGCTGCTTCGATGTTATAGTGGTATAATCGAGTCGTTATGTCAGAGAACTATGGTACACAAAACCTAAAATCTTTACCATATGTCCCTTTACATAAAAAGTTTGCTGAGCCCGGCCTAAAGAACAAAGTCTGAACTCATTAGCCCTGCATGCCGGTCTTCCTAGCGTGCTCCTTGCCTATTTTAGCCTGATTTTCTTCCTTTCCAACGTCTCAGCTGCCCTCCCATCCCAGACACACCTAACGCTGTTTTCCCACCCCATGTCTGCTGCTTCTCTGCCTGGAGTGCTTTCTTTCCTTTTCTGGCTGATGGGCTCCCAGCCAGCCAGCAAATTCTGCTCAGTGCTCACCCTTTCTGGGAAACCTGGTTGCTCCTCCACCCGCCCCATCCATGTCAGAATAATTTCACCACTTCCGGTTTGCTCATTATTTTGTTCTTGAATGAATAACATTTTATAATACTTATTAGTATTACTTGCCCATTGCCTTTCCTATGTCTAATCTGTCTACCCTCAGAGGCACGTAGATTATGGCTAGAACATCATAGGGCCTCAAAAATTTTTGTTAAATTTATGTGTGGCTGCTTTTTCTATGCCTTTCTACATACGTAATAACTTCTTGTTTTAATGCCAAAGCGTAGTATAATCTTAATGAAAACATTTGAAGTGGCAAATTTAATATGTGTATTACCAGCAGTGCATGCAACTCAATTGAAGAGAAAATAAATAGCTGTGACAGTGTTTGTGTATGTGCAGGAAGTGGTAGCTCTATCAAGACTGCCAGCTGTTCAGCTGCTGCTATAAAACCCTTTCAATTGTAAGATGTATCTCAATTTATAAGTTAAAATGTGGAAGAACTATGGTTTTAGAATTAGGTCTGCCAGCCTGCCTCCCTCCCTCCCTGCCTGCCTGCAGTCCTACAGTCTTTCCTGAGCATCCAATAGCCAGGCCTGGGGACATACAGATGAACAAGCATGGAGCTTACAGTCTTGTAAGAAGACAACTAGACAAGTCATTCTAATGGTAGGTGATGAGGAGTAGAATAAGAGAAGTGAGAAGTAACAGAACATAAGGCAGAGAGCCCATCCAGAGGAAGTACTGTTCCAGCTGGGCCCTGAAGGATGTAAGTAGTTGGGCAGTGATAGAAGAAAGTGTGTCAGACAGCAAGAGTATGGGAAGTAGAAACAACAGCACATACTAGAGCCTGATAGGGCATGGCAGAGTTGAGGAATGTAAAGTATTTCTGTGTGACTGGAACCTAGAGTGTAGAAGGAGTGGAACTGACATGATCAGATTTGCATCTGAGGCAAAATATCTGATGGCCAGGGTCCGCTAACTCTGGTCCACATGCTAGCAATAAGCATATCAAGATATGAACATAATTCTGTGACAAAGTTTAATTAAGCCAGAAGTTTGCCCTGTTCTCTGCTGTAGTGGGAGGGTTCTGAGCCCTGGGTACTGATAAGTACGGAAAGGGTCACAGCTGGTTGGTTAAGTGGGGGACTAAGAAGAGGCCCTTGTGAGTGCTCAAAAGTTTGCAGGCTTGCCAGCTACTCCTCTGCATAGGTTTAGACTAAAATTTGCTGAAGAAAGCTGAATGGGCAGATCTATGTGGCATTACCTGTCATAGCAAAGTACATACTGAAGCATTTGAAGTCCTTGGTCAGAGGGACTTTCTTAAGCCTTTGAGGGGTACTGCACACATGTGGGAAGGTGACATGACTCTGTCCAGTCACTCTGGCAAATAAGATCTTCTGAGAACTACAGTGCTACTTTAACATGCTCTGTCCAATGCATGATATGGGAGTTACTGCATGGAACAGTGTGCAAGTCCCCAGCTGCTGCATTTAGAGTAAAGTAAAACTTTATACCTCTTACCAAGTATTTCAGTGACCATTTTTTAATTTTTTAAATAATTTTATTTTTCAGTTACACCTGGTATATAATATATTAGTTTCAGGTGTACAACATGGTGATTAGACATTTATATAACTTACAAAGTGATCATCCCAATAACTCTAGCACCTGACACCATACACAGTTATTACAATGTTATTGATTATATTCCTTATGCTGTATTTTATATCCCCATGGCTGTTTTTATTACTGCCAATTTGCACATCTTAATCCTTTCCTGTTTTTCACCCATCTTCCCACCCCCTCCCATCTGGCAACCAGCAGTTTATTCTATCTATGAGTTTGTTTCTGTTTTGTTTGTTCATAGAATGTTCTGCAGATTCCACATATAAGTGAAATCATATGGTATTTGTCTTTCTCTGACTTATTTCACTTAGCAAAATACACTCTAGGTCCATCCATGCTGTCACAAACGGCAAGATTTCACTCTTTTTTATGGCTGAGTAATATTCCATTGTATATATGTACCATATCTTCTTTATCCGTTCATCTATCAATAGATACTTAGGTTGCTTCTATCTCTTGGCGATTATAACTAATGCTGCAATGAACATAGGGGTGCATATATCTTTTCAAATTAGTATTTTGGGTTTATTTGGATAAATACCCATAAGTAGAATTGCTGGGTCCTTCTTTATCTCTTGCTATTGCCTTTGTTTTAATGTCTATTTTATCTGATATAAGTATTGCTGCCCCAGCTTTTTTTATTTTGATTTTCATAAAATATCTTTTTCTATACCTTTACTTTTCAGTTTGTGTCTTTTGATCTGAAGTAGATCTCTTGTAGGCAACATATTCTTTTCTTATCCATTCAGCTACCCTTTTGATTGGAGCCTTTATCCATTTACATCTAAAGTAATTCTTAATAGGTATGTAGTTATTGCCAATTTATTACTATTATTTTTTCATTTTTTCCCCTTTTCCTTCTTAAATAAGACTCTTTAACATTCCTTGTAATACTGGTTTGGTGGTGAAAAACTCCTTTGGCTTATTCTTGTCTGAGAACTTTTTATCTGTCATTTGATTTAAATGATAGTCTTATTGAGTAGTAATCTTGGTTGTAGGTCCTTGCTTTTTATTACTTTGAATATTTTGTGCCAGTCTCTTCTGCCCTGCAAAGATTCTGTTGAGAAATCAGCTGATAGTCTTATGGGAGCTCCCCCGGAGGTAAGTAACTGCTTTTCTCTTGCTTCTTTTGAGATTTTCGGTCTTCAACTTTTGACATTTTAAATATGATGTTTCTTGGTGTGGGGCCTCTTTGGGATCATCTTCTTTGAGACTCTCTGTACTTCCGGAACTTATATATCTATGTCTTTTGCCAGGGTAGGGAAGTTTTCAGTCATTATTTCTTCAAATAGGTTTTCAATTCTTTGCTCTGTCTCTTCTCTTTCTGGTATCCCTATGATTAAATGTTGATTTGCTCGATGTTGTCCCAGAGGCCCCTTAAACTATTCTCATTTTTTTAATCCTTTTTTTTCTTGTTGCTGTTCTAATTGGGTGTTTTCTGCTACCTCATTTGCCAAATCATTAATTCGATCTTCTGCTTCGCCTAATCTACTTTTGATTCCCTCTAATGTATTCTTCATTTCTGACTGATTCTTTTTTTATGTTTTCTCTCCATCTGTATGTTTCCTATTTCTTTGTTAAAGTTTTCACTGAGTTCATCTACTCTTTCCTTAAGTTCATTGTGCATTCTAATAACCAGTGTTTTCAACTCTGCATCTGGTAGATTGCTTGTCTCCATTTTGTTTAATTTTTCTGGTGTTCTATTCTTTCCTTTCATTTTGGACATGTTGCTTTGTATCTTCATTTTGGCTAACTCTCTGTTTGTTTCTATGTATTAGGTAGATTTGCTATGTCTCCCCATCTTAGCAAAGTGGCCTTATATAGTAGATGTCCAGTGGGGCTCTGTGTTGCAGTCTCCCTGGTCACCTAAGCTGGGTGCTCCAGGTTTGTCCCTTGTATGGGTCATGTGTGCCCTCATGTTGTAGTTGAGCCTTGATTGCTGGTGGCACATCAGTGGGAATATTGACCCTCAGGCTGACTAGCTACAAGGAATGGCCATGTCTATAGCAGAAGAGCTGTGTGAAGGACTGACTTTATGGAGCAGGACTCACTTTAGCAGGGCTCTGGTGCCTGCCCAGTCTGCTCTGTGGATGTATCATTTGTGTAGGGGGTTGTGTAGTGCTCTGGTATTGTCTGGAGCTGGCCACAGGGTGTGTTCATTCTGGGGCCTTCTGGGAGGGGCTCTGGTGCAGGCCAAGGTTAGCCACTGCATGTGCCTAGCCGGGGCCACCTAGTAAGAGCTACAAAGTGATCTGTAGTTGGTTGCTGCTTGTGCTGGACTTGAAGGTGCCTGAGAGAGGCTAAGCAGTGAATCGAGGATGGCTGCCACTAGTACTGATCTTGAGGCCACTGAGCAAGAGGTACGAGGCACACTGAGGCTAAATGTTGCTTGTTTGGGGTTTGTGAACCTTTGAGAGATTTTAGGAAAGTCTGTAGCATGAACTGAGACAGAATGTTTGTATGGAAAAGCCACAGGAAGTGGCTTTGGTAGGCTTGTAAGTTGGATGGGGTCGGGGTCTCAGGGAATCACCACAGCAGGTGAAAGGTCTTAAGCCAGGTTGATGGAGACTCAGATATGGTAGCCACCTGTGCCTGTGTGTGGGGAGGACTCAACAAAGGAACAACGACATCTTCCAGCACTTCTGTCTTATAGAAAACTGCTCTTCTAGCCCTTGCCCTGAAGCAGAGAGTTCAGTTCTTCCCTATTTATCTCTGGTACTTTTCAAGCTGTTACCTCAGTTTTGGAGCTCAGAGTGAGTAAGTCCCTCAGCAAGTAAGTCTGTGTGCTGACCCTTTAAGAGGAATGCGTGGGACTCCAGCCGTCTTTTCTCTCATTCAGCCACAATCTCTGCTGGTTTTCACAGCCAAAAATTATGGGGACTTCTCTTCCTGGCCCTGGAACCCCGGGCTGGGGAGCCCTGTGTGGGGCTGGGACCCCTCACTCTTCAAGGGGGGCTCTGCTGCTGTGATATCCCTCCCGATTCTTAACCGCCACAGGTGAGTGTGGAGCCTGCCCATTCTGCATCTCCACCCCTCCTACCAGTGGCTTCTTTGGTTCAGTTCGTCTTCAGGCAGTTCTCATGAATGGTTGTTCTGTAGTTTAGCTGTAATTTTGATGCAGTTATGCAAGGAGGCGAGCACAGCATTTTCCTATCCACCATCTTGACCAGAAGCTCAGTGACCAGCCATTTTAAATAGGTCACCAGAGCATTCTTTTTAAATGACCAAGTATGTGATGTTCAAATATCTGAAAGAGGCGGCTTCTATTATTTGGAAAGGTTTAGGCTGATCCTAGTGCTGCAAAACTTTCAGGCTTTGGATTTCACCAAAATGTCAGACCTTTAAAGGGCTGTCCCACTGTTTGGGTACAATGTTCTCTCTCCTCATTAAACCTGATCCTCCTCCAATAAGTCTATGCCTACCTCAATTAATCCAGTTACCAATGTCATACTGTGTCTTTCTTCACTCTTCCACTCAATCACTGTCCATGTTTGACCAAATTCTCAACTACTGATTGGTTCTACCCGCTTCGTCATCTCCTGCAACCATCTATTTCTCTTCATTCCTATTACTACTAAGCTAGACCAGGCCAAGAAACTTTGTAGCTTAATCATTGTTCTTTTGGATAATGGAAAGTGACTTGGATTTTTAATGATATCCAAGGGCTTATGAATGATAATTTATCAATCAAATTATCTTTTAAAGAACAATGAAGTTCTAGAACTCGTAAAACATTAAAACGAGCAAATAGAACTAAACTACTGTTAATAAAAAAACTAACAAACATAAGCATATCATTTTGTTTCCCCAGATAAGGAAACTATTTGTACAACCGATATTTACTGAGTAGCATCTATATATCAGACACTTGTTAGGCATGGGAAATACAACAGTAAACAAAACAAAATCTTTGCGTCTATGAATATGACAGAATATATAAACAATACATTTTTTAGAAATCAACCCAAAGACAAAAAAAGTAAGAAACTTTCTATTAAACACTAAAATTTCAAATAATTGTTTCAAATTATAGTAAAAGCTATTTTTTTCAAAATGCTCTTAATTCATAAAGAGGCCACAATTGGCAATAATTCAGTTGTCATTTTTCCTAGATATAATAAAATGCAAAAAAGACAGAAGTCCCTCAAGTCCTCAGCAATGTCCACTTTGCATGAACCCCAGGACCTATGAAGGCAAGCCCTTAGCAATGGTCCCAGCTGCAGGTTTCCTGTGTGTCAAGCCAACCATTGACTCATCTTTGAAACTGAAGAGCCTGACCATTCTGGAAGACGGTGGTTCTGTATCCATCTCTCCCCAAGACTTCATGGCACCCTTTGGCTCCCTCATTTTGAATATGACAGACCAGTCTGGAAATGAAGCTAACATGGTCTGCAGTATTCAAAAGCCTTCAAGTACATCATCCATTGCATTCACTGAAGAAAATAATGACTATATTGTGCTAAATACATCATTTTCCACATTTCTGATGTGTAACATAGATTACGGTCACATTCAGCCAGTGTGGCAAATTCTGGCTTTGTACAGTGACTCTCCTCTGATACTAGAAAGAAGCCACATGCTCAGTAAAACACCACAACTTTGCTACAAATATAAACAGGTAGCTCCTAAGCCCGAAGACATCTTTACCAACATAGAGGCTGCTCTCAGAGCAGATCCCCCTTGGTTAATGCAAGACCGAATTTCCTTACAGCTAAACAGAACTGTTACCACACTCAGTACATTGCAGATCCACTACTCCAGTGATGCTCAAGTCACTTTACCAAGGGAAGAGATAAGGCCAGTGAAACACAAATGGACCATGATTTCCAGGGATAATAATTCTAAGCTAGAACGTACTGTTTTGGTTGGTGGGACCATTGACTTAGACTGCCCAGGCCAAGGAGACCCCATCCCACATTTGGAATGGCTTCTAGCTGATGGGAGTAAAGTGAGAGCTCCTTATGTTAGTGAGGATGGACGAATATTAATAGACAAGAGTGGAAAACTGGAACTCCAGATGGCTGATAGTTTTGACACAGGTATATACCACTGCATAAGTACCAATTATGATGATGCAGATATTCTCACCTATAGGATTACTGTGGTAGAGCCCTATATAGAATCCTATCACAAAAATGGGGCTCATCATACCGTTTTTCTTGGTGAAACACTTGACCTTCCATGCCATTCTACTGGTATCCCAGATGCCTCTGTTAGCTGGGTCCTTCCAGGAAACACTGTGCTCTATCAGTCCTCAAGAGAGAAGCAGATTTTTAATAATGGCACACTAAGAATATTACAGGTCACCCAAAAAGACCAGGGTCATTATTGCTGTGTTGCAGCCAACCCACTGGGGGTCGACCTTTTGATTAACCAAGTTTCAGTTGAAATAAAAGGGCCAAGGCCAGTGGAGCATAATGTAGAAACAGATGGATCTGGACTTGATGAGTCCAATCCCACTGTTCACCTTAGGGACCCACCAGCTGCACAGCTCCCAACATCTGTTCCAATGGCAGGTGAGGCTGGAAAACAAGTCTCGAGCATAAGTAAGAAGCATAGCTATCGGGAGTTAATACACCGGCGGCATGGAGAGTCAACAAATCGACGTTTTAAGGAGCATAGGAGGCAGTTCCCTTCCTCTGCTCGGAGGATTGATCCGCGACACTGGGCGGCACTTCTGGAGAAAGTTAAAAAGAATACTATGCCAGAGAAGCGAGAAAATACTACAGCAAGGCCACCTCCACTTGTCACCCAACTCCTGAAAATACCTGGTGAGGAGGTAGACTCTTCAGGCATGTTCTCTCCAGATGAGGAATTTATGGCCCTGGCAACAGAAGTTCCCAATGTTCTGGCAAGGACAATGACTGCCAGTTCCAGAAAAAGGTCTGATAGCCCTGTGACAAGTATAATGTCTGGTATCGAAGTCTCCCCAATTATGAGTCCACAAATGCTACCACCTGAAAAGACAATAGGTTTCAAACTATCTACTACTACTAAAACTATAGCCCAGTCAAAGTACTTAAACTCAACTACATCAAGCAAAATGCAAGGCACAAACAACCAAAATTTAACCACTATCTTTCCTCTGCTACCGGAAACAACTCAGTTTCAGGATGCTGATGGCATCGAGAGAAGAGAGCATTTGCAAAGTACACCCACAATAACAGTGGGAACTGTGATTGAAGATGTCAATACCAAAATACTTAGTAGTGCTAACGGCAAAGCTGATATATTCTTAGGATCAGAAAACACCATGAATGGTCATCAGACATCTGTAACAGGAGGCAGTGAACCCAGGAGCAATCACTTCTATCCTCACAGTCCTCGAAAGCTTGGCACCTCAAGGCTCCCTTCAGGCCCACACACTGCTGCTCATTCTCGGTTACAGATTCCTAGAAATAGTACAGCTAGCATCCCACTGTCCAGACGCTTTGGAAAGAGGAGGAAAGTTTGGGGCAGGGGACAATTTATCAGTTCATATAGGACTCCAGTTCTCCGACGGCATAGATATGGTTTTGTGAAGACAACAGTCAGGGAGTCTTCTAAAGAAAGCACCACTGCATTTTCAGCTACACAGATCAACGCAGTGTGTCCATCCTGTTCTCCCAGAGAAGGGCTCACCACTGCTGCAGCTGCCTTGTCTTTCTCAAGTTCTTTCCCCACCACTCTCCCCAAAGCTGACATTGCCAGAGTCGCAGCAGCAGAGTCTCTAACTCTAGTCCACAATCCATCATTACTATTTGAGAACAAACTAAATGTAGATATAGAGAAAACAACACCCACAATAAAATATTTCAGTGCTGAAAGTACCCAAGTAACTCCAATTGGTACAGTCATGACTTATGCCTCAACATCTGTATCTATGGAAAAAACTCACATAAGAAATACTGGTTCTCCAAGTGTGTCTAACATCAGTGAAGCTGAAAGTGATTCAATGATTATATCTCCACTTCCAGGTCCCACCACCAAGACATCTCTGCCTACTACTATAGCCATTACAACATTTTCAAGAAAGAAAATTCCTTGGCATCAGATGTTTGGAAATAACTATATCCAAACAGAGAGATTAAAGAATCAGCATAAATTTGGTTCACAAAAAAGCACAGCCACGGTGCTTCCTAAAATATCTACAGCTTTACCCACAGATAAAGTTTCCCCCTTCCCCTTCACAAAACACTCAGCAAATGTGGTGCAAATTCCATCTGTAACACTGGCTACAACTCACCACAGTAGCATCGAAACACACAATCCTATGAGTCTTCCCACAGTGAAGGAGCTGCCTTTCCCACCACCTGTTTACCCTACACTTCCTGGTATCTCAAGCAAGGAATCAAGTACAAATTTCATATCAATGCAAACAGCCACACTGACAACTCCTCCTACTGCCCCTGCATCTGTCAGTATCAATAAAACCCAAATAGCCAGACCTAGGACACAAAAAGTACAACACAAAAAGGAGCCTCAGAAGAACAGGAA